ATACATGTATATAATTAAATGCACAACTAGATTTATGAAAGTTAATATTCTTTGTTTCTCCAGAATATTATAAATATTTCCACTGTGACATTCGAATTATTTCTTGAGGCACGGGACTCCCATAACAGCTGTCTTAACTACCGGGTATCTATTTATTGCTAGGTGAACAGGTGCACCAGGGTGAAAGAAACTCTGCCTATCTGTTTCCGTCTCGGGCGGGAGGCACATGTGTAGTTCCCCCTTCGTATGTGTGTGTGTGCAACATGTGTGATCAGGGCACTTGTGTACCTACATACGTGTGTATCTTTGCATCCTGCGTGTGTGTACCTTGGTCGTGTGTGTGCGTCTGGCTGTGTGTACATCTGGCCGTGTGTGTGTGTGTGTGTGTACATCTTCGCATGCTGTGTATGTACGTAGACACACACACACACACATGTATCTTGTGCCTGCGTCTTGACACGTGTCATGTGTGTGTGTTCTTAACACGTGTGTGCATCTTGAATGTTGACCTCGACACGTGTGTAACTTGTGCGTCCATGGACACACGTGTGTACACATGGACACGTGTACACATGGACACATGTACCTATGGACACATGTACACATGGACACATGTACACATGGACACGTGTACACATGGACACATGTACCTATGGACACATGGACACATGTACACATGGACACGTGTACACATGGACACGTGTACACATGGACACATGTACACATGGACACGTGTACACATGGACACATGTACACATGGACACATGGACACGTGTACACATGGACACGTGCACACGTGTACACATGGACACGTGTGTACACATGGACACGTGTACACATGGACACACGTGCACACGTGTAGACATATACACATGGACACATGTACACATGGACACACGTGCACACGTGTACACATGGACACGTGTACACATGGACACATGTACACATGGACACTGCATATCGACTGTCGCCTAATAATATCATATTACTATAGTGTGAGGTGTGACGTGGATGGGAGGGGGGGGGGGCAGGGAAGGGGGGGGGAAGAGGAGGATGGGAAGAAAGAGGGGAAAGAGGAAAGGAGAAGGGAGAGGGAAGAGAGAGAGGGGACAAGGAAGAAAGGGTAGGATAGGGAGAGGAGAACAGGAAGATCAAATGAGGGAAAGGGGTAAACAATCCTTATTTCTAGCACCGCGGGGTGCTAGAAATTGTCTTCTCTTTAAGTGGTTAGTCACGCATTCTTCCCTCATGCTTAATATTTTCTCTCTATTTCTGTAAACGGAGCGGTGGGGGACACACACACACACACACACACACACACACACACACACACACACACACACACACACACACACACACACACACACACACACACAGATGCCGAAGAAATATAAGAAAATTCACCTTCGCAAATAGAGGTTGGAACAAGTTAAGTGAGAAGGTGGTGGAGGCCAAGACCGTCAGTAGTTTCAAAGCGTTATATGACAAAGAGTACTGGGAAGACGGGACACCACGAGCTTAGCTCTCATCCTCTAACTACACTTAGGTAATTACACACACACACTGGACGTCAATACCAGTAAGACTGACGGAGGCGCTGTCACTACACCACCACCTTACTCTGCGGGGTTCATTAACTAGCGTGCCGCCAGCAAAATATATATATATATATATATATAGGTACTGCCTGGTATATATATATATATATATAATATTATATATATATATATATATATCTATATATATATTATAATATATATATATTATATATATATAATTATAATATATATGTACTGCCTGGTATATATATATAATATATATATAATATATATATAATATATAATCTATACTATATATATAATATATATATATATATATATATATATATATATAGATCTATATACCAGGCAGAAAATGACAAATATATGTCAAATACTATGAGAGTGAATACCTGTTTGTCTAGAGCTGGAGACCAGATGCTCTGGGCTAGCCTCACCCAACTTTGCAGGGGGAATGGTCTGCGGTACAGGATGGGAGAAAGGCTGGTCATGATAGACCTAAGATAATTTTGTTTAAAGAAATGCACACTTCAGTGCCGTATGCACTCTGGCCTATGGTCCAGTAAACGCCACCATCAACCCCTTCTCCTCTTAAGAAGTTCTTAGGAATCCTCTTAGGAGTTCTGTGTCACAACCAGAAGTGTGACACAGCGAGGGGGTTGTATTTGTCAGTCATTAGAATCCTCACAACCATTGATTTAATCCTTGCCAGCCACTGGAAAGATTCAGAATCTTTATGTTTCTCAAGACCCCACTAAGGTACTCCGACACGACTGCCATTAGACGCCATTAGTCTGCGGACCGTGTTTCATCAATAAGTAGTTTTAATGTTTATGTAGTGGCATTATTCGGAATAAATTTTTTTTTTTACCACAGTAAACCATTAGAATTCAAGTTCACACTTTTAGAATCCAAGTTTACTCGCTTAGAATCCAAATGTA